GGCGGGACGGACATGGGACGGGACAACACAAGACACTACTATAACAAAGTCCCTTTGCAACACTCAGTTTCCCCTTGTGGCAGGTCATAAAGGTACCTCTGCAAGATTCCAGAAAAAAACATTTTCATACTGAGAATAGTTTCTCATCTCTGCAGAGACAAGTTTCACAATTGGATATAATAATTCCTGACACTACAACCAGGGAAAACATCATAAAGCATTTCTTCCCCATGGCAATCTAGAAAATTAGCCAGAATTTCAGTCCCAATTATCAATGAGAAACAAAAATGAAAAATTAAAAAAACAGAAAGAAACGAGCTTAACAACAAGGCAATGAAGACGGATCATTTTACAGGTAGAGGACTGTGACATTTAATATTAAAATCTCATATCTACATTTAAGATTACTATATTCACACATATTTTGCAAGGGTCATTCAAAGTACAAGCATTCCTGTGGACTGCCTCACAACAAACAAATCTTACTCTTAAATTGTCTTCTTCGCTTCAGCTAGCTAACATCAGCATTTTCTGCAAGACAGGAGGAATATGGCATCCTGATAAAAAGCCTCCCTACGTGACTTTTAGGCCACCCTTAGCTAAGCCTGAATAGAAGAATTTCCCAAATAGAAAAATAAAGGGGCAGCAAGTACTAGTAAGCATTTTTATCCAACCGATTATTTCACAGTTAAATAGCAGCTCACCCTGACAAAGAATGTCTTTCTATTAAATTTCCCGTGCTTTGGTTATTAAATAGCTAGACTCATATGACTCTTTTAAACAACAATACAATATCTTTATTTCTTTTACTCAGATAAATGAGCCACTATTTGCCAATATTCCAAAAAAAGAAAATAACATTTCGATGAAGACTAAAAGTGAATGTTTCAGAGTTATAAGCTACAGAAAGTGGGGGGGGACAAAATGGAAATACTTACACTGCCCCCAGGGAATAGGCACACAAGCCATTCCTGTTAGAGCCTGTACTGCTTCACTGAGGACTGGTGAGGCATCTAACAGTAGCATTACGTGAAGCAGCAATTATGCAGCTGTTTCCTGCCCTACCTATTACTCAATATGTAAAAAAGTTTGATGACAACTCTTCTTGCATACTCACCTAAAGCCCTGGTTCTGGACACACTCAAATTAAAAGGCAGAACAAGATATCAAACTCTTGCTTTAGAAATCAAGCCCTTATGATTAAAAAAAAAAAGTAATTTTATATTTATTATTTTATTTACGTGAAAAAATTTTATTTTTCTTTACCCAACTGATAAATGGACTTAATTCAGCTGAATTTTATCAGACTTTTACTGCGTAGCAGAAGAGAACATTTTTAAGAATAGCCTGTGACTACCAACTGGACATTGCAGTAATTGTTTTTGAGTAGTTAAACGCCAGTCATCACTCACAAGAACTATAGCCTACACTTTCCGGTTAATATCTCCCACACGCTGAACAGCAAACCTCACTCAGAAAAACAAACCTATACTCCCTCAAATTTTCTGTGATGATTCCTGCCTTTGGCATAGCTCTTGCAGATATACTGTGTAGCCTATAAGCCCTTCACTGTTGGGATATTCTCTGGCAGTGGGAAGTGGCAGTCCTTTTCTCTCTCCCTCTGACCAACATTTTGGCTGTATGCAACACTGACCAGCAGTTTGGTCAACAGTTCAATTTATTCCAACTGAAAGGTAGTAATGAAGTTGAATGGAAGCTTATCCAGGCAAAACAACCGATCTTGTACACATGATTACAGTGACTGGTACAAAATTCTGCTATCTGTGCCATAGCATGGTACTGCTGAAAAGATTTTACAAAAAATAAGTACTTCTTTTCTCATGCTATTATTACAGATGAAGCACACTACCCTCAACAGAAATAATCACCAGAGAAACTGGATGAGCCGTGGGAACACTGTTCTAAAAAGCCTAGCTAATCAAAACCACTGTCAACATACAGAAATCTCCTATAAAAACATACAGCCTCCAAATTCTTTGTCATTTCCATTTCTTTAGGTAAGATCCCAGAACTTTCATCATAGGATGAAAGCAGCATGATTGCAGCTTCACGTAATGCTAGTGTTGGAAGCCTCACCAACTTTCAGTGAAGCTGAACAGCAAACATATGATAGGTACTTCCAGCAGCAACACAAGCTTGAACAGGAATGGATTGTGTGGCCACTCCCTGGCAGCAATGTAAGCATTTCCAATTTATTCCCCCTCATCACCTTTTTTCGTGGTTTCTAACTCTCTGAAACATTCATTTTTAGTTTCCATCCAAACACTATGTCTATTCCTGTTCTCACTACTTGTGTCTGTCTAGTCAAAGAACTCCACATCAGTAGTTTTTCCTCAGTTATTCAATGAAGGAAAGAGGTACTGAATTCAAACCCAAAGATGACTCTCTTACCTACCCTTTTTATCATTATGATGAGCTAAACCTTGAAAATGCTCATGAGTTGAGGGTACACATCAGTGTAATCTACTAAACGTCTTCTGTCCTGTCCGTGTCCCCCCCCCAAAGGAAAACTGAGGATACTAACTGGACAGTTTCGCAGGTCTCCCATAGTGCTGGCGTTCTGTAGTAGTTCTCCAAACATATCTGGAGTCGGTTTCTCTCGTCTCTCCAGCATACAAATAGCTTGATTGCTTCAGTATAGAGAAAGCATGGAAAATAAAAGTTTAGTAATAAAATAAAAACCCAAACCTACATTAACTAAGTCTATGTTTCACTTAAATTTGAGAAGTCAAGAACCTTAAAATACACAACACTTTTTATATTTAATATTGTACTACAGAAAAATCACATAATTATTAAGTGCGAATTACTACACCTTCCATGATAATACTGCATAAAGAAAACAAGTAAAACTTAAAATAGAAACAGTTTCTAGTTTGGCTTAAAATTTACATCTTAAAAGCAAGCTGTAGCATTTTGATAAATACTTGATTTAACAGTGAAATACTTGCTTCAAAATGCTTCCCTTCAGTAACCACAACCCTAGTAAAGTAGCACAGTAAAGCACATCCTTAATAATAAAACTATAGACAAAAAATAGCATGGTACCCAACTGATTTCACTGTCCAAGTTGAAAGGAAGATGACAATAAGTACACAAGAATACTAGTGCTCAAAGTATGTTCAAGCTTAAAATGGTTTAAGAGGTAAATATATCACTGTTTATTGGTGTTTTTAAAATAATGCATGAGTTAAGATTTATTGAGCTATTTCATATAAAATATTGAATACTTTTTACATAATTCTTTTCCTGTTTTTCTAATAAATAATATTTTGATACACAGTGTCTGCTGGTAACCTAAAAAAAACCTACAGCTTGATGGAACGGCAGGTAGCAGCCACAAGGGGGAATGCTTTACAATACTCCTGATACACTGGTAAAGTGGTAGCTTTTAACAGATATCTGCATGAGAACAGCAACCAGCAGTTTTCAAGACAATTTTTTCGGGCTCTGTAACTACAAGTCTCACATGCAGGACAAGAAACAAAGAGACGTTTTCATCCCAATCAAAATTTCAAGACAGAAGCGAATAACAGACTCCTGCCTCGATCAGATTTAAGCAGCTTTTAACTGAGCAGCCACCTACTAAAAGAAGACTTCTCCTCTAGCATTCATTCAAACGAACTACTACACAGCTAGAGCTATTGCTCTGTGCACCATCTCCTTTAATGACAGGTCATGGTGACCAGGGGAGTTCCCCAATAAGTAGAAAAAGCAAGAGCTTCTTCCAAAAGAAAAGAGCAAGAGCTTTTTCCAAAGTTCCTCTCCATCCAAGAAAGAGGATTTGAGGAACTACAGGCTGGTCAGTCTTGCTCCAGTACCTGGGGCGACGAGAGACCAAATCCCCTTGGAAATCATCTCCAGGCATATGAAGGACAAGAAGGTGAGCGAGAGCAGCCACCATGGATTTACCAAGGGCAAACTACGCCTGACCTACTTGATTATCTCCTATCGTAAAATGATGGGTTCTGTTGAGGAGGCGAGAGCAGTTAATATCATTTGGTCTCTAGCAAGGTTTCCAAGTCATCTACAGTGTTCTTGTGGCCAAACTGGGAGGTGTGGACTGCACAGGTAGAATGCAATGCAGACAAAAACCTAGCTGAACCTTCAGGCTCAGAGGATCAAAACATAACCAGCAATCAGTTAAGAGTTGTGTTCCTCAGGGGTTAATACTGGGGCTGATGCTATTTAACATTTTCATTAACAACCTGGATGATGAATCAGAATACACCCACATCAAGTTTACAGATGACACCAAACCGGACGGAGCAGTCAATATACAGAAAGGGAGTGCTGCCATCCAGAAGGATCTTGACAGGTTGGAGGAACAAGCTGGCAGGAACCTCATGAAATTCAGTAAAGGGAAATACAAAGTCTTGCACCTCGGACAGAGCACACGCAGTGCAGCAGTACTGGCTGGGCACAGAGTGGCTGAGGAGCAACATCACAGATAGCTGGTAGACAAGCTGAACATAAGCCAGACTCTTTGCAGAGGCGAACAGAGGAAGGACAAGAGGCAAAAGATGCAGAAAGGAAAATTCTGACTGGATATAAGGAAAAAAAAAATTTCACACCGAGTGGTTAAGCACTGGAACAGGCAGTCCAGAGAAGTCATGGAATTTCTGTCCTTGAACGTTTTCAAAACTCAGCTGCACAAATCCCCAAGCAGCCTGATCTAGCTTTGAAGTTAGCCCTGCTTTGAACAGGAGGATGGAGTAGATGTCCAAAGGTCCTTTCCAGCATAAATTATTTTTTATTTTTCTTATCTTGCTTAACTTACCTGCTCACATATTAAGGTCTTTCAAAACGTACACGAGTCCTTGCCACTACAGCTGTCAGATTCAGAATCATAAACAAGTAGACACACTGATCCATGCATAAACAGATATCTTCTGCTCCACTAAATTCTCATGTTCTTTATCATAGTTATCAAAGCTCCACCAACTTTGAAAAAACCATGTTCTGGACGTTTAATCTTGTGAAGGTAAAGATCAAACTGCAATACCAGTATAAAAAAAAGAGAAGTTTTCTTCCCTGTAAAAATCTCAACTCACCAGAGTGAGGTTGTAGAAATATAATGTACCATCTGGATGAAAGGTAACGGGTCAGAAGTGGCACCGCAGCTGGTACAAACACACTAAAGAGAAAGAAAACATAATACATTGACAAGATTAAACAGGTATTTCCACAGCAACGCTTCTGCTTGTATCTTTTTTACCATGGCAATGCATGTCTTAGGAGTGTAAATTTGAAACCTGAGAACTGGTGATTTGTATAAAGCATGTATCATTACCTCACCTGTTCAAACAAGGTCATCGCAAACTTCTGATGGGAAACACAATGTGGTGCAGTGCAAATATCTTCCTTTGTCTCATCTGCAATGTGGAAGTGAATTCGCATTAACAGGTTTTCCTAGCCAAAGAGAGAAGCAAAAAAAAACATTAGATCTTTCCTAGCCAAAGAGAGAAGCAAAAAAAAAAAAACATTAGATCATTTCAAATGTAGACAAAAGTTAAAATATAAATCACAAAAGCATGTCAGATGCAATAACTTTATAAGCGTTATTTATAGAGGCAGAAGGCTCCTGCAAATTTTTTAAAGTTGCTTAGAAAACAAAGAAGTTGGCATTTCTTTGGTATAAAAAAAATGGCTACCACAACACAAAGAAGTTGGCATTTCTTTGGTATAAAAAAAATGGCTCACCTCTGATTTGAAATGCTATGTCAAGGTAACCATTTATTTTATTTACTAGCACAGCTGAAAATTCTGTCACTGATGATTCTGTCCAATTCTCAAGCATCAACGGATTTGACCAAATGTAACGGGCAGAGCAGCTCTGCAGTTTTAAAATCACTGGGTTGCCACTAACTTCTCCTCATCAACACAAAGTAACCCGAATCAACGTCTATATTCCACAAGGGCTTTGAAATATGTCAAATAATCTACATTCTATCAAAAAGGGGGAGAACTAATAAATGAAGAGGCAGACTAAATTCTGCATGAAACAAAAGCACTGAACATTTTCTAGATATTATTTCAGACAACTCCATCTCTTTTCAAGTTCCCATGAGTTCTTGTCCTAAGCCCTCCTCTCCTCCCACTGTTGCCAACATTACTCTGGGGGTGCCAGAAGTCTACTAACACCTCTCCCAGCAGCACACTTTTCACTACCATTATGAGCTGCCTGGATGGTTTATAGGCCTGCAATAGCAAGTCAAGATTAATTATTAAGCAAAATAGCTCTGACCTCGTACAATTTCCCTTGAACTTTAGAATCTAAGCACTTCTGCCATTTAAATTAAATCTCTGCCTTTAGGGCTGAAAAGGTTAACTAAATGAAAAGCTATGGAATTATCTCTGCCTTAAAGCTTAACCTCAAAAAGAGAACTTGTACCCATTTTAACTGTCCTTGTGCCAGTACGGTTAACCTAACACGCCTGCTTGTGGGGAATCCCACAGCAGTATTAGATGGGCTATTTAGATTAGCTTTCTCAAGGAAGAAACTAAATCAAAAGTTCCCATGTTCTACTACATACAGAACTCTGTTCAAGTGCTGGACTGCATACAATGATTTGACATAACTGTGCTCACAGGGGCTCCTGTGTAGGCTGATGTAATTTATTTCACTTTGAGGCTTTATTGGTATGATGTATTTCCATTTTAAGCGAGCTCATTAAACTATACTATTTTGCTATATAAGTATTCTGCAAACACAGGATATGTTGGGTTATCATAAGCCCATTATCAGTCCACTTAATTTAAGAGAAGAACTATAATAGCTATAGCATAGAATCACAGAATCATTAAAGGTGGAAAAGACCTTTAAGATCATCAAGTCCAACCGTCAACCCAACACCACCATGCCCACTAAACCATGTCCCTAAGCGCCTCAGCTACACGTCTTTTAAATACTTCCAGGGATGGGGACTCAACCACTTCCCTGGGCAGCCTCTTCCAATGTTTAGCCACTCTTTCAGTAAAGAAATTTTTCCTTACATCCAATCTAAACCTCCCCTGCCGCAACTTGAGGCCATTTCCTCTCGTGCTATCACTTGTTACTTGGGAGAAGAGACCGACAACCACCTCGCTACAACCTCCTTTCAGGGAGTTGTAGAGAGCGATGAGGTCTCCCCTCAGCCTCCTTTTCTCCAGGCTAAACAACCCCAGTTCCCTCAGCCGCTCCTCATCAGACTTGTGCTCCAGACCCTTCACCAGCCTCGTTGCCCTTCTCTGGACACGCTCCAGCACCTCAACGTCCTTCTTGTAGTGAGGGGCCCAAAACTGAACACAGTATTCGAGGTGCGGCCTCACCAGGGCCGAGTACAGGGGCACGATTACTTCCCTACTCCTGCTGGCCACACTATTTCTGATACAGGCCAGGATGCCATTGGCCTTCTTGGCCGCCTGGGCACACTGCCGGCTCATGTTCAGCCGGCTGTCAACCAGATGCATTTATCCCATTTCTATGATCTCTTACATTGCAAATGTCAAATTAGGTAGGTATAGGAAATGAAAGATTTAGCACCTCTGATAGGTGCTTTACCTGAGAGAAGTTTTACCTTGCAGCAGTAAATCCAGTATGTTTGTACTTTGGTTAAGAATTAACATCTTTGTTAACAACCAAGCAGGATACAAACACATTTGGGCCACCCTATGGACACTACAATTTCCAAAACGGGAAGCAGCCAATAGGTCAGCAAGACAAAAATACCTCCTAATTAAGTTAAGGAAATTTAGGAGAGTGAAGAAGGAAAAGGAGGAAATGTGGGTAAGAATAAAATCTTAACATAATGGATGCCAAGAAAGAGTTTGCGTATAAAAAGAAAGCAGGTGGGTAAACCTAGGGATGTAAGATTTGTGTAAAAGCCATCTCCCGACCACACTGGTGAGATAACCAGCCTAAAAAAAATTGTCAGATGGTTTACAAATACAGCAACAGAAATATTTGGAGTTGATCCATTTTACTGTTGCTTATCTCAACTTACAAACATAAACAACTGTGTTGGGTTGTGTTTGGTTTATTTATTTATTACTTTCCCTTAGAGTTTGTGAAAACATGATTTCAGAATAACTGGCAAACAAAATGTCCTTTCACCGTTTTGAGGTGATCCTTAAAACTAGAATCCTGGATCATTCTTTCAGTGCAATTTTTTTTTTTTTTTTTTTTTTTCTACAATTCATATCCAAGACACACTTGAGCCTGCAAGCAGTACGTATGGAAAAGCAACTGTAAAAATGGATAACATTGATGTTTCCATTTCAAAATCATTAGCGATGACTCTCAAGCCAAATGCTGGTTCCCCACTGGATCACTTCAAGCTTGGGGATATCTCTGTGGACTTTTCCAGTCAACACATGCAAGGTTTGTTGGAATATGGGGAGGAATGGGGGTGGGGGGGAAGACTGTGTAGTGGGGGTTCACATCTATGCCTGTCAAACCATCTTTCAGTTATACTCACAAAACATTCAGCGGCATCATCCATGATGCCCAGCTGGAAGCGTTGCTCATCCTGAAATGTCTTTGCAAGAGCAGTGCGCAGGGCATCAGAAGGCAGTACCTTCTCGCTGCTACATTGAAACTGGTTGAAGATACTCTAGTAAGAAAACAAAAAGATAGTTAAGTTACTGTATTTTCAAAACATGACTCAAGCTATCTGAAAACAAACAGAAAACCTTTAACTCACTTTGATCAAGCAACACACAGATATTTGTATTGTACAGAGACTACAAGAGAAAATCCTAAAAGTTCCTCCTTTGAAATCATATGCACCTTTGTGTATTCCTTCCTTTCCTTTCACATATCCAAGGGAGGGTGGGAAGCTTTGGGGTAAATTTCCCTCAGTGCCAATCCCCCTTGGATCTTCCTCCAAATTTGATTCCTGAAGCAAATACAATGGACAACAAAACTTCCTCACTTTTTATTCCTATTTCTCCCTCTCCAGTTCACTTTTTTACTCCCATCTCGGTAGCTTTCTTCTTACACATGCCGCCTTCTTTCCTCTTTCAAGCAACTTTTTCCAAATGTCTTAGCCCTTAAACAGCCACAACCTGCTGCTTGCACTCTTTAAGGAATTTACCTTCCAGTAAGTCCAAGAAGTGGGTAAGAATCAGATGATTTTGGCGTCAGCATGCAGGAGGGAAAAGGCACAACATGAATAGCAGTTCCTATGCATGGCCAACTGTTTACTTGTTGCCATAAACTGCATTTTCATAACTAACTCACAGGTCATCTGGGTAGTTATTTGCAAGGACGAGTAGTTCTATAAAGACGCATTATTTTCTAAAGCGTGGGTTGTATGCATGAAAGTTCAGTACATATTCCCAACTGATTAAAAACTCACTTTTATCTTGTGTGTGCGTGTATGCGTGTACACGTGTGTGCAAGATATCCAAAAGATCTTCTGAACAGTTATTTAACTTTCATTGTGCCCTCCTACAAAAACAGGAACATAATTCTGTATGCAAGATCCTCAGTTTAAGTAAAAACTTCTAGCCCTTATTTTCATACAAGACCATTCTGTCTCCATCACCATGCTGCTCTACTTTCTACCTCATTTCATATGACAGGCAACCATCTTCATCAGTGTCAATCTCAAAATTCTGCTTGTCCTTTCCTATAAACCGTTCCTCACAATTTCCCTAAAGACTGCAGAAAAGCTCTATTCTTACTGCAAGAGAAAAAAAGGATCATCTTCAGTTGTGCACCACTTGGCTTTTCTGCCTTCTAAACTTAGTCAAACAAGGAGAAAGCCAGCCTCAAACTGGTTTGTCTGTTTGGCTTTCTTTCAAATCTATACTGAGAATCTGTAGCGATGTTGATTCATGGATCACTTCCTCCCTTAATTACAGAAAGCTTCTCCCCAGCATACTTAGGATCTATATTAATTGCAAATAAATAATCTGAATCTTTCTCTCCTTTAACTAGTTTTCTTATTTGTTTCTTATTGGGAAATGAGCAGGTAAACTGGGAGAAGGTTTGCCAAACTCTGCAGTCTCGGCTGCTCTGAGGAAGCTGAAAGAGTGCAGAAGACAGCTGTCACTGCACAGCTAGCAAACCAACCTCCATGCCCCTGCCATTTCTGGCCGTAGAAATGGTACAATTTATAGTGTTGACATATTACTAATATAGATGTAAAATGCCCATCGCTCTTTACTGCTATTTTTATTTTGGTAGTCCTTATGGTGCTCATTCATGGGTGAGGGCCCACTGTGCTGAAGCCCATAGCTCTTCTAATATTGCCTTTATTAGAGTATCAAATAATGATGAGGAAAGTGGTAATGAAGAGAAGGCTGTGAGGCAGTCACACTTCATGAATTACAGCCAATACCTCTCCTCAGTTACCTTTTATATATACATACATAAAAATAGAAAGAATGACAAAGTCTCTGTACTTAACAACCTTGATCCCCATTTCTGCCACTGATAACAGAGCAAGTTTCATTAGTAAATTTTCTCATTTCAGTGGACCTCAAAAAAAAAAAGTTGTGAAACATAGTTCCATCCTGCTTCAGCACTTTACATTAAATAATTTAAGAGCACTTGAAAATATTCACAACTGTGCTTTAGAAATGTGTTTCTTCTGGTTATCATCAATCTCGCTTCATAGATCTAGAAACTGAGACACTCGCCTAGCGACTGGCACGCAACCCCACTGCAGGGAACTGATGGACAGGACCCAGTTTGCTTCAATGAGAGCTCTGAAATGGCTCTGCACTCTTGGCGGGGAGGAGAGAATCAACGCAGGCTCCAAAATAGGTAAAAGGAGAAGCAAGCAAGCAAACTGAAACTCTTATTTTAAATTTCCGTCTTTAAAGAAATAGTATACTTTATTTTTTTACCCTAATATACTTTATTTTTTTACCTGTTAACATACCTACTAGTTCACATAAAGAGATCCAGTAAGGAAAAAGTGATCCTGATGATTATAAGCAACTGTTTTCCACAAGATCCTGCATTTTAAATTTTTTTTAGCATCACAAAATAATTACAGCCTTCACAATTAAAACTAAAAAACTCTCATTAAATATAAACAGCAGAAAACTGTGACATCTGTTACCACAACCACAGAACAAAAATAATTCAGTAACATCAAAGAATTCTGTGAAGAATTCTAATATGTAAAATCAGGAAGTAAAAGATCCCAATATTATATAGAAGAATGTTTCCTAACATTTGTAATGACATAGCACACAATGATATAGTCTTATTTAGATTACGAGGGGAAAAAAAAAAAAGTCTTAAAACCAGTGAGTAATTGTGCATTTTAATCTAATAAAGATCAAATCTTATCATGTCATTGCACAGTGCAGTTTAGAGCACATTGGAACACGGTGCTTGTAGAAAGTCCCAAAAGCACCTCAAATGGAGTCAAAAGCACTTTGAACACAAAGACAGGTTCTTTGTTCACCTTCAGAACAGGTCTTTCTTGTCTCTCAGCCTTAGATGGACAAGGTATGGCATTTCCTGCAGTTTCATCACTTTAAGTTATCTCAGTCAGATCTCTCTCCTTAATTTCAGGTCTTGCCCTTGAGTGATACTGTTAATCACTAACACATTTGTTCCATATACAGGTCTGAAAGCCAGCTGGGTGCAGACCAGGAAAGCACTGCTGATTCTGCCCCAGGAGTTTTCATTACACCTTTTCTCCAAGTGCTTCTGGAACTTAATGAGAACTTTATATATGAAACATTCAAAATTTGTTCTCTTTCAAAAACTTCTTCACCTGAATTTCAAGATAGTGAAAACCCCTTCAGTGTATTCACCACACTGATGATCTCTCTCAATGACTACATTCGAACACAAATGAGCGTATCCCTCACAGCAGCAACAATATGAAAAGATACGGCTAAAAGCTTCACAAGCAAGGGAAGTCGCTCCTATTTTACCAGTTTTCAGTAACTAAAATCAAGAATGCAGAACAAAAAAAAGTTAGCTTAACTTAAAATCTGAGCAATTACTAATATTGTATTAGCAGCAGCACTTTGATTTCTACACTGATGACCTATTCTTGGCATGTTGGTAAGTCTACGAGCCAAGACAAAGAACAGCATGAACAAGGGATTTTTCAGATTGGAAGTATATCTTCTAGTTGCACTGCATTGCTGAGGTCTATATAAAAAAGAAGCCCATCTCCCTCCATATCCCCTTCCCTACAGATCTTCAAAGGTCTGGAAAGGGTAGCAGAGACAGCAGAATTAGGAAGCACAAGCGTTCTTTAAGAGGAATAAATTGCCAAAGTCCATCTAGTTGTGCCTAGTCCTTCCCCAAGTACTAAGTCAAGATCAACTACAATTACATAGTTGATCTTTCGCCAGCTTGCTCTCAGAGGCATCCAAATCTGGAAATTCCTTAACCATCCCAGGCAATCTATTGTAGGGCCTCACTTGGCTTATTACCATTCAGAAGGTTTTTTCCTAGTTTTCTAACTGGAAGCTTCGTCTCCTTTCTACTACAGGTCTGGGCTTCTGACATACATCCGAACAAGGGCTTGCAGAGTCAGTGGGCTCCCAAAATAATCTCCTCCAGTTTGGGAAGTGTGGGGAATCAACATAAACTTTCTGAAGCTTCAAAGGAAAACAACCTCAGGTTTGAGACAAGGAACCTTTATCATACAACTATTCAAGTTAAAACCTGGCTTTCCATTTCAGACAGCTAAAATTCACATGCATGATCATAAACCGAGTTGTTCTTCATTTGGTTAGAGAATAAAGATAGTAATTATTCTTTGAGGTAATTCATGGGATTGACATTTTAGAGTTCTTTTAAATTTTAAAGATTTGGAAAACTGAAATACATGTGAATCCCCCCATAGTTTACAAGATCTGCTCCAAATTATCTCTAACACTGTTTGGAATCCATTTTCTCCCTAGGAAAGAAGTGTTCAATTTATTTGGGGTAAATTGACATCTGCAATGTGTATCTAACCATACTGATGAAACAAACCCCAGACTTGATATACATGCACATATGACTTTTTAATCAAGCATGTAGAAGCAGGCTGGCATAAGAATAAATTGATGGCTGAAGACAACAGGCAACAGCTACTGAATCAGATCAGTGTCCATGCACTGTAAATTTGAGTTCTGTCCTTGGCAGCTTTCTGAGAACTAATTATTCTCTTCCAGCATTGTGCAGAAGTTCCTTCTGGGTGGGGATATCGCTGCAGCTCTGGCAGTGTGGTGTTTCTTTCAAAGAACAAAACACGTTCCCCCCCAAACGCTTTAGTATTCCCTACATGAACAGTTTCTGCCTTTTAGCAAAAGCTACAAATATTAACATGGCCAATCCTCATCCTTCTCTCACTGCTCAACATATCGATATTATTCTTGCTGTCACTCAGTTATGACAGTATTTTTTTTCTTTTTTTTTTTTTTTTAAACTCTCTCCATTTCAATAGCATACCCTTCTTACTCCGTTCCATTCATTGGACTTTTTTTTCTTGTCTACAGTACCTGATCTCCCATCCAGAACATCACACTCTTCTCCTGATGCAGCCTCTTACTCAGTACAACAACCTGTTTCAATAAAAATTCTGGCTGCTAAAATCACTTTTCTCCTACCCAACCACATCAGCCTCCACCCACAGTATTTCCA